TAGTCGATGCATTTAGAGAATGGCGAGTTTATTTGGAAGGATCGAAATACCCAGTACAAGTGTACACAGATCATAAGAACTTGGTTTACTTCACCACAACGAAGCAGTTAAACAGACGACAGGTCAGATGGTCGGAGACCATGGCCAATTACAATTTCAAGATTTCATATGTTAAAGGATCAGAAAACGCTAGAGCCGACGCTCTTAGCCGAAAACCAGAATACCAAGAAAATAAGTCGTACGAATCATACGCAATATTCAAGAAAGAAGGCGAATCACTGGTTTACAATGCACCACAGCTTGCAGCTACTCATATATTGGAAGACAACCATCTCAGAAACCAAATCCAATCACATTACGACAAGGATGCTACAGCTATACGCATACGCAAGGCAATAGAACCAGGATTCACAATAGAAAACGAAACCATATACTTTCATGGGAAAGTATACATTCCGAGTCAAATGACCAAGGAATTTGTGACGGAACAACATGGGTTGCCGGCACATGGACATCAAGGAATTGCAAGGACGTTTGCAAGAATCCGGGAAATCAGTTATTTCCCGCGAATGAGAACGATAGTTGAAGAAGTTGTTGGAAGTTGCGACACCTGCATACGAAACAAGTCATCACGACATGCTCCGTATGGTCAGCTCCAGACCCCAGACATGCCTTCTCAGCCATGGAAGTCCATCACATGGGACTTTGTGGTTAAACTACCACTCTCAAAAGATCCTACTACAGGAGTCGAATACGACGCGATACTCAATGTAGTAGACAGGCTAACCAAATTTGCATATATGATACCATTCAAAGAAACATGGACTGCTGAACAACTAGCATATGTATTCTTCAGGGTCATAGTAAGCATACATGGAGTACCAGATGAGATAATCTCGGATAGAGACAAGCTCTTTACCTCGAAATTCTGGACTACCTTATTAGCACTTATGGGTATTAAAAGAAAGCTGTCGACAGCTTTCCACCCACAGACAGACGGTCAAACAGAAAGGACCAATCAGACAATGGAAGCATATCTTAGATGCTATGTAAATTATCGACAAGACAATTGGGTAGAACTATTACCTATGGCACAGTTCGCATATAACACATCGGAAACGGAAACCACAAAGATAACACCAGCACGCGCTAACTTTGGGTTTAATCCTAAAGCATATCAAACACCGATACCACAAGAAGTCAATGCCGAATCAGCAATAATACAAGTCGAACAGTTAAAAGATTTACAAGAACAGCTTGCTCTTGATCTAAGATTCATATCATCCAGAACAGCAGCGTACTACAATACGAAACGTAGTATGGAACCTACGCTTAAAGAGGGGGATAAAGTTTACTTGCTACGACGAAACATTGAAACCAAAAGACCAAGCAATAAACTCGACCACAGGAAACTAGGACCATTCAAGATTGATAAAGTAATAGGAACGGTTAACTATCGATTGAAATTACCAGACACAATGAATATTCACCCAGTATTCCATATATCCTTGCTCGAACCAGCACCACCAGGAGCGCCGAATGCGCCATTAACGGAAATCGAACCAGTTAACCCGAACGCCATATACGATGTCGAAACAATACTAGATTGTAAATACGTCAGAGGCACAATCAAATATTTAATCAAATGGTTAGATTATCCACACACCGAAAATTCATGGGAACCAAGAACAAACCTCAACTGCCCTGAGAAGTTGGAGGCGTTCCACCAGCAATACCCGGGTCTGCCCAGAAGGAGGGAGAATCCATTGAAGCAAGGATCGAAGGATCCAAAGAAGAAGGGTCGAAAACGAAGGAATTATCACTGAGACCAGCGACAGAGGCAGACGCCATTTCCTTTTCTTTTTCCACACGCTCATTCTCCAACTTTTCTCTTCCCTCTACTTCTTCCAACTCATCCATTGTTTTCAGACCTCGGCGAATCATTTCAGAGGCGCGATTGCGAAGGAAGCGCTGTTGTTTGTCCAAACGAAGGAGTTTAGATAAAGTAGCCTCGCGCTCTTGATCTAATCGTTCTTGCTCACGAATAATACTCATCATATCGCCAGCAGAGGGACCAGCTATGTCGCACTTCTGCCCACGACGAATACATTCGCTACAGCGAATAGAATTTTCCTTGGAAATTATACAACGACGAGAATGTTTGTCGCAATAAGTACACGAAGGCATAGTGATGCCACAAGCTTCAATCAGTAAAGCTAATTCAACACGTTCTTTATACTTTCGGGATCGAATAGGTGGCATAATGAGAAGGAAAAGGAACAAAAGCCATATAGGAGGCTATAATCCCAAGTGGGGTAAATTAGTACTATATAACGCTTGGGGGCAAGCGCTAGGATAGGAAGGGGATAGTGTTACGCCGGTCCATCCTCGGTACCGCGTCACATGACTCTTAGCACGTGATGGACCCTGCATGACAGGCATAACGGAATGTAGGTCCATACAGACCAAAGGTCCAGGACCTCTCTAGGTCCTGAACGCTCCAGTACAGTACGAAGGTCTATATAAGGGAATGGGATTTCATTACAATGTAGAGCTTCGTGCTCAAGAACAATCATTAGTTTCATTACTATAGTTACGAGAATTGCAACCAGTTACCAACCTTATTGAATTCCTACTTGAAGTTTAGTCTAAACCACCTCGAGAGAACTCTAGACACTTCCACGTGACCCTAGAGGCAGCTCCCGTAACAAAACCATTACTAAAACTAGTAATAAAGATAAATACTAGTTCCTTCTCTTTTTTTATATACTCATTTTCTAATTACTGTTTCTCGGCCTCAAACTCTTTAAAAGCTTCAATAGTATAAAGGTTATATTGAAGCATTTTACCAGCCTTTTCCTATAAAACATACTTCTGCCTTTATAGTCGAATAAGCCGAGCAGCTGCTTCAACCATGGTATTTATAACCTTCTCCTTCTCGAACTTAAGACACTCCTCTTTAAAATTAATATAAGATTAATTACTTATAGAATAACTATATATATTATAACAATCATTATTTATACTCTCTATATATTCATTACAATATATAGCATTTAAAAGCATTTGATACTCAAGGTTTTTTTCCAAATAGTAATTACATTTATAAAATATAATAATACCTTTATTTTTAAAACAAAAATAAATATTTTTATAATTAGTAATAGATTTTGAAGAACAAATAGTGGATATTATAACAAACAGAAAGAAAGGTATTACGGAATTAGTCAAGTAGGGAAAACTTATTTTATAAATGCTTGAGATAAGCACTAAGCTAGGAAGAGGATAGTGTTACAACGACATTCAATATACCACATCATATGATCAGGAAGTCATGGAATTAGGGATTCTCATTGGATCCTACTGCTCCTACCTAATGGGATACAATAGGATCAATAAAATAACAAAGAATAAAGGTCTATATAAGGAAATAGATTTCATTATAATATAAAGCTTTATACTTAAGAATAATTATTAATTTTATTACTATAATTACGAGAATTACAACCAATTATAATCTTATTGAATTCCTACTTGAAGTTTAGTTTAAACTATTTTGAAAGAATTCTAAACATTTCCATATAATCCTAGAGGCAGCTCCCGTAACATAAAGATATAATTGTCGATATTATTAGTTAATAATTTTCAAAGTTGGATTTATTTTTAATTCATTATATTAAACTTTAATATTGTTATAATATAAATGAAGTAGGTATACAAAAAAATTAAGGATTAAATGAATTAGTTTTAAGAAGCTCAGAACGTTGTTTTATTTAGAAAAAGGAATCTGGTTTTAAAGCTTGGATATCATTTATAAAGTATATCTTAGCTATAGGAAAAGCTCTTAATCCTTTTATTATATTAAAAAGGAAATCAATACAATAATAATGATTTCCAGTTGATTTGAAATCCTATAAAGAGTGGCATTTCATTATTATAAATAATAAATAGATTATAAATAATACTACTTTAGAATAACTTAAAAAGATCTTTATACCTTAAACAACCCTCTCTTTATCAAATGAATTAAAACTCTTTATATTAAACAAATATAAAAGTTATAAAACTACTGAATTTATATAAAAACACTTTAAGTATAATATACACCTCTTATTCCTTCTACTATATACATTATATATCCTACAGCCTTTTGATTTATTTGTTTTTTTATCTTTCAAAAAAGTATATAAACACTACCTCAATAAATTAACCTCTTTATTAAATTCTAAAATAATTGAAAAGACTAATTTCTTTATATACTATTAGAAAGCACAATTAAACAATTTAACAAAGTATAATATACTAATTGAATGAAAAGCTTCAAGTTTATAACCTTTAAATCGCATTAAGTTTATTATATTCAGATTATTATTTAAGAATAGTAATAAAGAAGTTACAAATCAGAATTTACTTTTTAATAATAATCCTATATATTAATAAAATAAGGAATCCACAATTTTAACTTTTAAAACACTTTAAAAAGCTAATTATTTAAGATTATATATATATATATTCCTTCGAAGTAAAGAAACCAATCTTTATACTTATTGTTAGTTTTTTAGAAAGATTATTAAGGAATTCGATATTAAGAATTATAAAATTCTATAATTTGGGCATTAAATAAAGCAATTAAAGTATTAATTAAAGTAAATCGTTTCTAAAAAGAAATACAAGATGAAAACTAATCCAAATTCGAAGTTTTCTAAGATTAAAGAGATTAGAAAGATACAAATTGAAATAGGAAACTATGAAATTGATATAAAAGATACTAATAATGATAATAAAAGTGTATCCTCAAGTATTTATTATAATGCCGAATAATTGTTGAATAATTAATATTTTAATATTATATAATGTAAATTTTTAAGGTGGTTCAAAAGAGGGGTGACCCGAAAGTAGGGTACCCGACTTATAACCTGTATACACCATCTTTAAATGACGGAGAATATGTCCCGAAGTACAGGAGATGGGGGAAATGCCAACATTGCCAACCCAGTAAAATGATCGTGGACCTCACTAAGATCAGGAAGACGTGGATCCTCTTATGTCGCTCTTTTCAGACCTTTGGACGACCTTCAGTCTCGGTTCATCTTATTTTGTGGAGTACTATTTGCAATTGCTGCTGGGGCACGTCATTATATCTTCATTATCTGTGTAGTTCTAGTCAGACGAAACTTTTCGGTATCACAGCTCTTCCTATAATCGGTATCATATTTGCACGCATTATTGATGTCTATCCGCCTTCCGGGGAGGAAGTTATTTCCCGAGTCTATCAATTGGTTGCTGTTGGTTAGGGTTTAAATCTTTCAAAGTCTCACAGCAATTGCTAACCATGCAGCGTGCGCTTATTTTATAGTAACATGGGGCTGGGCATTTTGCTGGGGAATCGTTGGCGATAGAGTATCGCGAGGTTTATGGATACAGATGGTCGACAGAGCTCTGGGACTTGATCAGACATGTTATGAGACTCAATGTCCAGATGTAAGACCGCGTATTCAGTAGGAAGATTAGAGTTAACCATTTCAAGATCACCAGTCGTCTGACTGCAGACGCACAAACAGTCCAAGCTGGTACAGCTGAGAAAGTGGGCCTATTTCTGCAATCTTGCAGTTATTTTGTTAAAGCATTTATTTTAGGGTTTGTTTTCAACGCTCGTCTCACTGGAGCTCTTTTTGCTGCGGTAATTTCCTCTATGACACTGGTTGTTGTCGTTGGTACCTCCACATTGAATAAATACGCCAAGGCTGCAGCAAAGAGTAATACAATCGCAAATTCAATCGCTAAAGGGGCTATGAAGGCAGTACAAGTGGCTCAAGCTTTTGATGCTTTTGATGCTTTAACAGATTCTCATCACAACAATCTAATTCTTGCAATGAGATACGATGCAAAAGAAGGTGTGACGGGTGCACTGATGCTTGGCAGTGTGTTTTTTATTGCGTCGGTTATATCGCTTTCAGTCCCATTTCATAACTTCCAATCGTCCCCACTGCAGTTTGCTGATCACAGGGTTTCAATTTAGATGTTGAGTCTCATCAAATGTTTCGAATAGTTTGGAAGGGCGAATTCTGTGAATATTTTGCCACTTTCAAAAGTTTGAAGCCATATTCAGTCTAGACTGTTGGAATCTTCTGTCTTACAGTGCTAACAACACAAAGGTTTCAGCAAATGCTGTGGCATTTTGGCAAGGCTCTAAGATGATCAACTCTGGCTCGTCTAGCAGTGCAGGAACTGTATATGCCATTGTCTTTCTAATACTTGACGCTTCATTTGTGATCGGAGCAGCAGGCCCATTCGTTCAATCCTTTGCAAATGTCGCTTCTGCTAGGCAGCGAATATTTGATCTTATAGATTATCCCAACATACCAATTAATGTGTACTCCGAGGAGGGAATTAGTTATGACAGCGAGACACTGGATACAGGAGGAAGCATTACGTTTAAAGATGTCGGCTTTTATTATCCAACACGCCCACTCGACACTGGTTTGGATTCAGTCAATTTTGAAATCAGAACTGGAACCTCTGTAGGCATTGTAGGCGTATTTGGAAGTGGCAAATCAACTATCACTTCGCTTCTCTTCAGAATTTATGACCTTTCACGAGGCTCTGTTCGAGTTAACGGCCATACAATACCTGAATACAATTTGGCTAGTCTCCGCGAGAAGATGGCCTTGGTTGATCAAGATCCAGCAGTCTTTTCGGGAACTATTTACTATAATATCAGATATGGCTACAAAGTAACTGCACTGGAAGAGGAACAGATGAGGAGAGAAGTGCATAGATGCTGCGAAGGCTTCTGATGCCTCGCAATTCATTGAATTGCTACCAGATGGATTGGATACTTGGCTTGGTGAGCTATCTGGTACGAGGCTCTCTGGAGGCCAGAAACAGCGACTATGCCTTGCTAGGGCCTTAGTTGGTGACCCTCCTCTATTAATATTAGATGAAACTACTAATGCACTTAATACAATCAGCGAAGCGGCTATCTTGAGCTCTCTTGCAATAGCAAGATCTTCGAGTAAGCGAACTACCGTGGTCGCGCATCGTCTTGCATCAGTGAGGGCTGCGGATAATATCATCGTTATGGGTAAAGGTCTGGTTCTTGAACAGGGAAGTCATGATTTTCTAATGTCGAAGCCCAAAGACTAAATTCTTCTCACAAAAGCCAACAAGTTGAATCCCTTAAATTTTCATCCATCGAAAAACTATCCACCCCATCTGACGAGTTTTCTGATTATGAGAATAAATCTATACAAGACTCGCCTAAAGAAGGTGGTTCTGAACTCTCGAGATCTTTCGGAACTTTTGCAATAATTCGGCGCTGTTTTGCTTTAACGAAATCTGAAATTCTGTTTGCTTTATTTGCATTCGTGGCTTGTGCTGCAACGGGAGGTTTGGTCATTGGCGCATTTATCGTTTTCGGTAACTTAGTGTCTTTAGTCAATGGCCCTGTCTCATCTTCTCGAGTAGATTTTTTCTGTCTAATGTTCTTCGTTGTTGCGATCGTTGCACCTCTTGGTTATACAACTTCTAGGTCCTGCTTTGGAATTGTTTCCGAAACTTCGATCATGAGAACCCAAGATTTATCCTTCCGAACAATATTGAGACAAGATATGAAATGGTTTTTGAAGCCAGGTAGATCTACCTCTGGTCATTATCTCTGTTATGAACATGGATTCCGGCCACTTGAGTGGACTTTCGGGTGTGATTATCGGAACTATGATATCCGGTTTTGTCTCGGTCGTCGGTGGGGCTATCTTAGCACATGCTGTGGCTTGAAAAATCGCGATTGTTCTTTTGGGTACTTCGCCAGTGATTCTCCTTGCGAGGTCCTTTTGGATACGCGTGTTGGCTCAAATATAGGAAAAGAATCAAGCAGCATATGTCGACGCTTCCGCATTCGTAACTGAGGCTTGTGGAGCAATCCGCACCATTTCTGCACTTGGAATAGAACGAGAAACTTCATCAAAGTTCAAAGTCGCAGTCAATAAGCATCAAAAGCAGACTTCTAGGAACACGGCGCTTAGCAATATACTTCTTGCTCTCACGCTAGCAATCACGTAAGTATCCTCCTTCGGTAGAGAGACAAATAGCTAATCAGCGTACAGATATTTCATATATTCTCTTGCTTATTGGTGGGGAGCCAAGCCAGAGAAAGAGGGATATTATTCATCTCGCCAATTTTTAATTGTTCTCCCCGCTAAATTGTATTCTAAATTGTACTCGGCTCAAGCCGCAGGACAACTATTCAGTCTAGCGCCGGATATTAGAAGGGCAAAGGGCGCCGCATCTCGAGTCTTTAATAAAAAACTAACTATTGACCTAACTAACAATTTGAACCCTGCGACTTCTTCTCCGGATAGGATCTCAAATGACATTTCTCCAATTCCTTCTGGTGCAATCGAGTTTAGAAATGTTGGTCTCGCCTAAAAATCTCGCGCCGATACACCCATATTCACCAACCTGAATTTTACCGTACAAGCTGGCGAGACAGTTGCTTTAGTAGGAAAATCGGGAGCTGGAAAACATCAACCATCTCATTGATAGAGCGATTCTACCATCTAACGTCTGGCGCGATTCTTCTTGATGGCATAGATGTCCGAGAAGTTCCTGTGTCTCAACATCGAGCACGACTCAGTCTCGTATCTCAAGATCCTGACTTGTTTTCCGGTAGTGTGGCCTTCAATGTTGGGTTAGGGGCTCGGCCAGGTCATATTGCGACAATGAAGGAAATCACAGCTGCTTGTAAAGCTGTCGGGATTCATGACTTTATCAACGGGTTACCCGATGGTTATGAAACGTGTGTAAATTCTTTCTAGATTTCACAAAGTTGCTAACAATTTTAGACAATGCGGTATAAATGGTTCTCAGCTGTCTGGAGAGCAGAAGCAACGAGGTGCGATAGCCCGAGCATACATTCGCGACCCAGAGATTCTGTTGCTTGACGAAGCCACTTCAGCTCTTGGTAAAGGACTCTATTTTGTTGGCCAAGAGATCAAACACTAACATACAACAGACTCGTATTCTGAAGCTCAGATACAAGAAGCAATCAAAACTGTCTCTCGTAAACGAACTACTATCATGACTGCACATCGTCTTACCAGTGTACAAAATGCAGAATGCATCTTAGTTTCGAGTGTGGCAAAATAGTGGAAGAAGGGAAGCACGAGCAATTGATAAATGGTGGCGGTATTTACGAAGAAATGATCAGAGCGCAGGATTTGGGTTAATGCGAGTTTTAACGTTCATTTTACTTCTATAGCATAGCGTCAGACTTGCTTTTCATATCTAATTGTACAATACTATGATTCCATTACCATAGATAGGTGGGATTTGAGCGATGGTACGGAACACGACATGAATTAGGGACAGCTAACACGACGTTTATTCAACCCTCAACGGCTTATAGATCAGAAGATAATGCAGGAGTCGAAACGTTCAAGAAAGGAATTCAGCATAGATTTGCATTTGTTTATATACCAACCACTAGTGAATAAGTGCTCGTGTCTCCTTCCAACCAGGCAAACAAACATTGTTCACATATTATTGAATCTCGTATCGTCGTGACAATCCTCATCCCGCATCGTCTATTCCAACACAAGTTACACAACAAGATGATGCCATGTTTTCGATATCTCCAAAATTATCCACACCAATCATTACACCGCCGCTGATACCTCACAAGTCGACACTTTGGTGCAAACGCTAATAATATAATGCAGGGCTCTAATCCACTTTACATATTGGCCATTCCCTTTTGCCATCTGATTCTCCGGTACCGAGTAGATTTGGTTTTCCTTACGTGGTGACTCCACTGCATCATTTCTCCCATTGAGGTTACACATCTCAAGTCGAGCCCAACCTGCATCATGCCACATTACGAAATCTAGGACGACAGAAGTCCTTCCACTTTCCTCCATATCGAGTTAGTTATTCAAAGCCAGCAAGTTTTCCCATCGCTTCGGACATGCCTATTTGAATCTAGGAGATCTGCATGGTGACTATATAAGCTGCATCGCACTCTTCTAGTATAATTTACCAGAGGCAGGAAAATGTAGAGATTAACAGGGATTATGATTATCTTTTTCATCTGATAAAAATTTTTCATCGCTAGTTTCTGGAATTGGCCAACTAGATTGATTGAAGTGGAGAATCTAATTGGAGCAAAGGATCTGATAACGAGTACGAAACAATGTGGACCGATGTCGGTGAGTGGAGAATGAGAGGGATTCTTCAGGAAAGTTTCAACAGGTTGGAAAAGTATGTATCACTGTACCATTGCTCCGTAGCTCGAACCTTGGTATGTATCTTCGTATGAGCTTCTTCTCAACCCTCCCCCCCCCCCTGCTCCGCATTTATCCGTCATGCCTTTACAAATTTCGGGACGGATCTGATAATTTCTCTTGGCAACTCTAAGTGGAGAATTTAGAAAAGTTGTCTCCGAGGTGAATTGTTCATTGGTTTGTCCTCTTAACGAAAAAGTCATGTCGCCATCTACTACTAGAAGAAGCTACGACGAGCACCCCGCACACACGTTCACATGCTACATACGACCTTTTCGTGCCGAACAAATGTAAGCGCGTAGTGACAGAGAGGTCATTGACAGCTTGTTGGGGACTGGAGTAGCTTTAGTGGATATTCACCGGTAGGATTACTCGAGTACAGCTATGTACGATCAATCCATTCACATAACTCTAGCGACGCAACCGAGAAGATTAACCTATAATATCCAGAAGTAGAAAACGTCTACAATGTAGCGTTCAAAGAGGAAAGCATGTCCGATGTACACATCAAGAAAATCAGACAACGTACAGATCATATCATGTCAAATATCGGTCGAGTCAGTCCATTCTATTCATACTTCGTGCACAAATCACAAATCTACCTTCCATATCCTCGTTGACACCATTCATATTCGCCATCCCTACAACATCATTCTCATCATCCATGAATGATCTTTGGCTGCCCCATAATAAACAGGAAAAGGTCCATGTCTAGAATCAAAATACACATATGCTAACCTGCCATTATACCTACCAATGACAATGAGAAATCTTGGCATACATGTTCTGAGATTTTATTGTTGATGTCCCCCATGTTCTTGCTCAGGTAACTGAATTAATGATTCGAGATTCTATTACACAATACTTCAGAAATCCCATTTACATTTTTCTGTTGACTGAGAGATACACATATCCTTTACAATAAGTATCTGGACTCTTCTTTGTTTTGGTCAATTCTGTCATCTACTTTTATCCATCAGGCTTTATTATTCGCCCTTTTCCCTCTCTGCATCATTATCGAGATCACATATCAAATTATTTTTTGATTTTATTTTTAAACTGATCGCCCATCTGTTTATTCGACCATAATTCATCGCCTCTCTCCTTCATCTACAATTATCCTTTTAGATATCCCAAATAAGTCCTCCTTACCTCAAATATCAGTCTTATCTTGGTCATTCCGTCATCGATATACACTTTATCAATTATCGATAATCTTGGGCTACTGTACAAATTAGTTCAATTCGTCAATCAACCAATTGAACTTCTTAACCGACATACTCCTTCCCCCAAACCACCAAACGCAGTTACCGCCAAACCCATACGGCTTCGTACCAATCCGCACAGCTTTAATAGTATCGGACGCACGGCAAGTTCACACTTGTATTCAACGGCAGTTGCACGAGACTTCGAAGGAATATCGAATCTCCAATCAGAATCCTCGGATTGCAAAGCAGATTTTTGGGGTCGAGGTATCATTATATCTCTTAGGAAAGTACAATTTTTGGCATCTGGAATAGCATTATTTAAGAAAGAGGGAATATTCTTTCGGTGTTGGTTTTTTGGGCAATACGAATCGTTAAGGATATCCGAATAAAAGTATATTCGGATCACCCTCAAAAGTTTGGAAAATCAACATACATATAAAATCAATTGATCAGTAGTTTTGATCACGTTACATTCATATACAAATCTATACTCGTTCTCGAATCGAAGTAAGAGAAATGGCTCCTTCAGCAATCAGCACTGGTAACTCACCCGAGGGACTTCGTCCCGTTGCGATCAATGGCGAGAAACTCATGTCTTCTCTGAAGATGAACAATCTCTCCCTCTCTCTAGAAGAAACTCTTACTAGTAACTCCTCAACCGAAACCCTCGACTTAATCTGTGTTGGATTCGGCCCAGCCTCCCTCGCCATTGCCATCGCTCTCCACGACGCTTACTCCAAATCCTCGTTACCCCCACCAAAGGTTCTTTTCCTCGAGAAGCAATCTGAGTTTGCATGGCACGCCGGTATGCAAATCCCTGGTGCTCGCATGCAAATCTCCTTCTTGAAGGATTTAGCTACACCCCGTGATCCCCGATCCAAGTTTACCTTCATCAACTATTTGCATTCCAAGGGACGCTTGAATACCTTTATCAATTTGAGCACTTTCTTACCTTCTCGTATGGAATACGAGGATTACTTGCGCTGGTGCGCTAGCCATTTCGAGAAGGAAGGTTGTGTGAAGTATGGTGCAAATGTAGAGTTAGTTGTTCCTTCATCGCCTTCGGCTGAAGATGGAAAGATTCCGGGCTTCACTATTACTTCATCCTCATCTTCTGGAGAGACAGTCACACACGCAGCTAAAAACGTTGTCATCGCTGTTGGTGGAAAGGCTATCGTTCCTCCTGTTTTGCAAAATAAGCCTTGTGTATTGCACTCCTCGCAATATGCTACTAGCATCGGAAAGATTGAGAAGTTGCAAAAAGAGACCAGAAAACCATTGAGATTTGCGATTATTGGCAGTGGGCAAAGTGCTGCAGAAATCTACAATGATTTATGGGAACGCTTTGGAGAGGAGACCGGTGTTACTGTTAAGTTGATTGTTAAAGGCCAGAGTTTGAGACCTAGTGATGATAGTCCTTTGTAAGATTTCTTTCTTTCTCGTTATCAAGAGACATAAAACTAACAATTGCAGTGTGAATGAAATTTTCGACCCCGATCGTGTAACCCCTCACTACAACCGCCCCTCTAACCTCCGTGCTGCGGGTATCGTCCTCGACCGCGCCACAAACTATGGTGTTGTCCGTCTTGAACTCCTCGAGCATCTCTATGATAAACTCTACATTCAACGTATCAAGTGCGAACGCACTGGTGCTACCCCCCGGGCAGCTATCGTTGTAAACAGAAGAGTAATTTCAGCTACACCTTCTCCTTCCAACGATTCTTTGAGACTAAAGATTGTTACTGAGGAGGGAGCCGAGAAGGAAGAAGAGGAGTTGGATGTAGATTATATTTTCACCGCTACTGGTTATAGAAGAGATGCACATGTTGAGATTCTCCGCGGGTGCGAGGAGCTCGCTACAGGCGAAGGAAGTGATGTCAAGGGGGAGAATGGACCTGTAAAGGGCAAGTGGGGAGTAACCAGAGATTATAGAGTCAAGGTGGTCGATGGAAAGGTACAACATGGTGCAGGACTCTGGTTACAGGGTTGTAATGAGTCGACGCACGGGGTAAGTTTCTTTTCTCTTGTATATTTATGAATAAATACTAACATATCCCAGTTATCCGATTCCCTCCTTTCTATCCTCGCTATCAGAGGTGGAGAATTAGTCCAGAGCATGTTCGGAGAACAACTTGCTCAAGAACAAAAGAACTAAATCTGTCGCGCTTTCTTTGTCATTCAAGATACCACAGTATGCTGTAGCGCAACGGTTAATTCTCAGAGTAGATCATTACCGGTGCTCAGAATACACGAATAGGTTGTCGTTTGTTGTTTGTTGTTGTTTATACATATTTTTTTCTCAGGTGGTGGTATTATTAGCGGAGGAGTAGAAGATAAAAGTGAATCGTGTGTATAGAACTGGAGTTTGGATTTGTGGATTGGAAATTATGTTTATACCTCTTGATTTATTGTGTCTTGTTTTTGTGATGAATGGTGAGTTTGCAGAGATGGTGAGATGGTGAGTTTTTGTAGAGCTGTTTTGATGGGGACTTGTTCATGTATTTATGAGATGCTATGATGGGTATTTCAACAACAAGTTGGGACGTAGTTGGTAACTCGTACTTACGTTTATTGATAGTGAGAAGAAGTCGCTGAAAGAGTGCTGAAAGTAAATAAATTAAAGCCTGTTGTTCCACGATGTATTGCAATGGCTTGCGAGACTCTCAGGAATGGATGAAATCGTTTTTCTGATAGGAGGAATCCACGGATTTCAATATCAGAGTTGTTGATGTGATGATAGATATGGAATCGTGTAGGTGACTACCAGATCGATGAGAGATAAATGTTCAGAGAGTTTCCAGAAGCGTGGTATAAAGTAGAACTGCTATATCTTGTAGTTCTAAGATAATGGTACTTAAGTGCCTGTTTCCCGGGGAGTGGAGATCGAACCGTCACTTATGCAGGTACTATTCCGAGATATTCAATGTACTATTGATCCGCTCAGAAGATTGAGGTTCATCATCAGGATGATAATGTGGCACCCATTGTAAGCCTCCAAGTGTATTGAGAG